TGAAGGGGAAGAGTTTGTGGAAGTGTCTATTTGTAAGGCATTTGGTGAGATTGATGATGAAGGAATGGCAGGCAGATCTGACTTATAGGATGGGAAGGGTTATATTTTATTTAGGATACTGGTTTGTTGTGATTTCTCTGTGGTGCTTACTGGTTGTACAAGGTTTTCTGGTGGTTGCTAGGTGTAGGGTTGCTTTTCTCCTTTTTGCTGTGGTTATTTCCATTGATTTGTCTTGTTGATTTATATTGTTGATAGATGCTGTCTGTTGGTTCATTACTGTTGTTTGATTCAAATGGTGGATTTGGGTGTCTTGGTTGACAGCAGGTGTTGTTTGGGATAGGTGTGGAGGTTATGTGGGAGGTATGCTACATAAGGTTGGGGCTGAGCATGGCTTTAGATATGATTTTTCCACCTTCAAATGGTAGAAGTTGAGGAAACAGTCTTGTGTTAGGATAAAGTCTGCAGTGTGTTTGGATGGTGCTACAACTTTTATGAAGTGAAAAGGCAGTCCTGTTTTCCTGGAAGTTATACGGTGGATGGCATGAATCTTTGAATGGGTGCTTGTTTCTAGGACTTGAAGGATTTCATGTGTAGTGAAAGAATAACTGGAATACTTACTAAAGAATATAAAACACACCAAACAAACAACAGGATGTAATTATGGATATACAGCCATATTCCTCTCTGTCAGAGGTCTTTCTGAAAACATGCAGAGAATATGTAAAAAACACAAAGTCTGGATAACAGCAATAGAGGGGTGGAGGGGTTGTGAACCTTCCATTAACATGCCCCTTGTTCCAAACAGACAGGTTTTGTCCTTTATATATATATATAAATCATATTCCTATCATTCCCTTTATTGTATAGTCTTCTTCTGTGGCATGGTGGGCTATTGCAGATAGATCAGTATTACTAAGTCTTGTGTGTCTATTATGTTCAGGAATTGTAACTTCTGTTGGTCTTTTTGTTTCTCCAATGTATTCGAATCCATAATCATACATGATGTTGTAAATAGTGCTTTTCTTTTCTATTGGTATGTGAGCATTTATCATCTTTGACGCAAGTTAACATTAACTATGTTCGTAGATGGTGCCACGTCCTTACACCAAAAATAAAAACACTTTATTAAATTTTCTATAAAATAACATACATATAGTTGGTGGGGGAGAAGAGGACAGAAATGTCTTATATACCTCAGAGAGTGCGGTAGCATTCTCTGTGGAGGAATACAATGAAAAAAATGGCCACCACTATTGCAATACTACATAAATTTAGATGAAGTATCTCCTCCATTAGCCATTGTAAGGCTGATATGAAGAGCCGTTTCTTGATTTATACCCACTTCCTACTATGACCTGTGACCTTTCAACTTTGGCCCATAAGACACTTCTGCAGCCAATAACCGTCAATTCATTAATAACGTGAAACACTGGAAGGACATTAAGAGCTGGATGTTGAAAACAGGTAACAGGTAGCACCCATACCAAGACTACTTTAACTACTACCTCTTCCTACACAGTCACTTTAACCATTGCACAGTGTATGTTATATTTTAGATATATATATACATATTTAGTTCTTAAAGTTTACACAAAAATTTTGGTGAGGTAATAATGAATACTGTAATAATATGTTATGATATAAATAAATTGTGTGAAAGTTAGGATTTTTGTGTTATTTATCATAGCATCTACCCCCCACATTTTTTCAAGTTCATAACACAGACAAAGGATGGGTATCTCAGCTTGTTGGTTATAAATCACAATAAAAAAGATAAAAGAAGTCTTTCACACACATTATGTTAGTCTAAAATAAAAGTCAGCAAAACCTGGATACCCTCTATTAAAAAAATTTAAATAGTTAGTCATTTGAAATTCCATTAGAAACCCCAGTCAAGTGGATAAAGTTTTGAACTCAGGTTCAGATCTCAGTTGCTGCCAAAAATAAAATAAATTCCTGAACAGGACTTTCCTAAAGACAACCTCAGAGCAATAGAGAATAAAAAGTAAAATTTCTAATTACTAACTACATATTAGTTAAATACAATAAGTAAAGATAAAATATATAAAAATATTAAAAATGATAATAATTAGATTGAATAATAATAATAAAATAGCTACCAATTAATAATAAGAATTAGATGACATATAATTATCATTATTGAGACAAAGTGAATAATTGTATAAAATATACTTTTGGAAGAAGTATTTTAAAGTTTTAGTTTGGCATTTCTATATCACATGATTTAAAAATAATTAAATAAGGAAGCAGAAAGATAGAAACAGTTATCAGAAGAGATGGCACATCTGTTAGGTGAGCAAGCAACTATAACAAATTCACTAAATCAAACATCAGAGTTACATAAAGTACTTACAGTAAGATATTAATCGTTCTCATGGTTAGCAGTTTATAGAGAAATTTCTGTCTTCAGTAAAAATACACCTACTTTACAGTGGACATCATCATCAATTTGAGAATACATGTCATCTTGGTTACACTGTAAATAAGATTTTAACTTCATTCTCGTTAATAAGCAGTCAATACCATTAAAGTTACACCATTTTAATTTACTCTGTCACTGTCTTATTAAGTAATCTAACATTATATTAAATGTATTTAACATTTCATGAACCATTATTGTATTATTCATCTTCGATACTTGCTTCATCTTATTTCATACTCTGTTATATTTATACATTTGAATATTAAAAATGGTGGTGATATAACACCTTCCTTATGTTAGTACTACATGTAACAACAAAATTAGAAACACAAATATGGGAGAGTACTGTTGTTATAGCCAAGACTCAACATGATTTCATTCTGATGATATTTATGTAAGCATACATTTAGAGGTTACTTATTTTAGTATTGATGTTCTGTCCTACTGAAGATGATATATAGTAAATGGATATAAAATGCTTGATATGTACGTGTGGTCATAGCTTGTATTTATGTAGAGCTTGCAGATGGTACATGAATGTTGCTAGAGTAAACCGTCTACATGTATAAACTTATAATGGATTAAAAAGAAGGCATGAAGCAAAATTTAGTTTCTTTAAAACTAGAATACATATATTATAGAGTGTATTAGAAGCTAATCCCACTGTATGAAGAAATAGCTTTTTCTATGGATCATAGATAAAATATCATTGTGTAGCTACATGTATTACAATGAAAGCTACATCAGGAGACAGAATGTCTAGTACTTTAGTTAATATTAATGAGAGCATATAGTTTTTATTGCAGCTAAAAGAGTAAATTAGACAATATAAATTGTGCTATAGATGTATTAGAAACAGAAAAACAAAAAAATATTATCCATCTGGACAAGGATCTTTATAATTGTTCTGCTTCTGAATAAGTTGGTTGTTGCCAGATGATTTTGCTTATAAGTATAAACATTCATCAAATAGCTCCTCAGTAATATTGAGTCAAAGTATTAGGTATTTATGAGAGCAAAACCACACTATACAGTGTGAAAATATTTTATAAATACTCAAAAGTACATGCAGTTCTATAAGTTTCTCACAATATGTACATTATTTATATATAACATACAAAATATTTTTGTGATAGTAATTTTTTGTTTCATTCAATGCATCGTATTTATGAAAAACTAGAGTTCAACTTACTCATATTTGCTTATTGCTCTTTATAATAAAAAGATCATGTGAGTCATGAAACTACAAACAAAATTTTTCAGCACCTACATATTTGGTTCACAGCAAATTCCTAATTATCTGACAGCATGGATGGACTTATGGTTGGAGGTTTATACTATAGTCATTTCTGAGAATGCATATTCATTTAACAACATTGTTAAACAATTAAGCCAAAGGACAGTGTTTAGAAGAAGACAGCTCTCACTGCTCCCCATGGAAACAAAAAAAATTCATGCAGCTAAATGTTTAGATCAGTAACATGTACCAAAACCACTCCCAAGCCAAGCAAGACCAATAACATCTCTAAAAAGTTAAGGCTATGGTTAAAAGATAGAACCCTATGACCCAAAAGACCATTCTGATAAAGATGGGCTAATTTCATGGTACCAGTAACAAGAAAATAAAAAACAAGTTGACAACAGCTCATAAGTTTCCAGTTACATGTTAAAATCAGTAGCTGTTTTTTTGTGAGAAAGGTGACTAAAGAAACCTAAATTACAACAGTTCCATTCAACTCTAATACAACTGCAATATACTTTTTTACAAAACAGGAAAAACAAGACAATTGTACGTTTCTCAAATACATCATTTATTCACGACCATGTTTTCACCAATAAAGGCATCATCAGGTGAAACCATGGTCATGCTTAAATGATGAATTTGAGAAATGTACAGTTGTCTTGTTTTTTTCCTCAATTTTGTAATTATGTAATTTCACCAAGTACCATTTTTAGTCTGGTTTTAAGTGTTGTCTTAGAAGCAATTTCCATAAACGGTGGAGGTAAGTTTGTTGAAACATTTGTTCTAAGATTGATCTCTCAGTTTGTGGAAGTTGCAGTGTTTGACAATAGTGTATAGTCATGACTATCAGACTGAGTATAATTGACAAGGGAAGAGTGGGACCTGAATATCATTTTTAGTTGTGATCTGTGTATTTATCTTGCTTTGATCAGAAGTTATTGATAATTGTTTATACGAGGTATTATTAACCTTTAGTATAACTGTTGTAAAGATGCAGTACTTTATTAATGTTTAATTGGAGTCAGTTAATGTTAATGCTTTGATTATTTAAGCTAATAATTTATAAGTGATCTTTTAATTAGATTTAATGAAATATGAAATTGTACTACCTTTTTTCTACTTAGTTTTTTTAACAGTTGAAAAATTTTCAATGATTTTATATATTTTTTTCATATTTATTGGATCATTAAATGTTTTGTTTCGTTAATTTATCAAAAGCAGAGTAATGTCAAAAAATAGTTATGTACAATAATTTTCTCATAAGTGTTTTAGCATACCAAAACATCAACACCTTTCTATGTATATGTTTTTAAGGAGGAACTACTAAAGCACAGTGGGAGGATGTGACTGGATCAACACCTCTGACCTTTGTTAATGACTGTGTTTCATTCACAACTACAGTATCAGCAAGGTATGATACTACGTGTATTCAAATAGTATAGGGACATTAAAGTAAACAAGTCAGTAGAAAAAATTTTATATGATTCCAAAAATATTTCTAATTTTCCTATTTTGAAGTATCTAAATATATTCCAAAATATCTGAAAATAAATTTATATTTTATTATTATTTTTTTATTACTAATATTTGCAATCTAATTTTACAGATATTTTAAGGAATAATATTTTTAATGTGTTTTTAGTACTTTTAGAAATGTAAGATAAATTATACAATTTTTATGGAAATGGATGTTTATGTTGTGCTAAATAAAATAAAATACTCTGTAGTTTATACAGAAAATTATTATTTTTTGATGGGATCATGTAAAAAAAACCTGAAAATTATTATCCATTGGCTGAGGTTTTAGTGATAAATCAACATTAAAGCAGTTTGAAAGTCCAAGGTGTTGTACACGGAGAGAGATGTTTTATAAATGCAGAATGCTAACACATTTTAATAATAGATGAATTGCACTATTCTGTAAAAATGAAGCAATGTAAAAGGGATAATATGATACCCAATTTTTTTATTTAAATTGTATACTCCACAATTTTATGGTTCTAGAGAGTATACACAATTTAATAAGAAATTAAAACTCGTAAAGTAATTAAAAGACAATTTCAAAAATTTAACATTGTTGGAAAAGTAAATTAGCCAAATAGATTATAATCATATAAAATAATAAAACTTCATAAAAGGTAAGAATAATCATTTAGAGAAAATAAGCAAGTTAAGAAAATATAACAAAGAAACCATTATAAATCATTCAAGTAAGGTAACTTATAACTTTCCAATTAGAATTTACATGATATAGAAAAATGGGTTTGGACCAATAGTCTATACTTTGTTATCCTACCAAAAAAAAACCTTAAATATTAGGATTATTTATTCAATTTTGAGCAATTGTTGCAGCTGTTCTCCAAACAATTAAATGCAGAGAAAGTAATGAATCATTTGAAAGTATAAGAAATCAGTTTAATGGCATAGGTCTAATATACTTTAATGAGTATAACACTGTAAGAAAATTTACCAATTTAAATATGCAGGAATTTTTAGCTTTAAAAAATTTCAAAGTTAATAGTGATTGTGAGACCCGATAAGAAGAATAGTGTGGTTTTATTAAATAAAATAGATTACACAAATGAAGTTAATGAAATTTTAAATCATAATAAATTTGTGAAATTGGATAAAGGTCCAAAACCAGAGAAAATATATTGCAAAGGACAATTTTTTTAAAAAACAATGAATATCATTCTTTAAGACCAGTTGGTTCCCATGCAGGGATTATGTATGGTGGTTTTAAGATTAATAAAGGTGGATGTCCTATGAGACCAGTAGTGTCAGGTATATGGGTTGTTAGTTAATTTGCTAAACCTTTTTATTAGAAATGAACATACCATAAAAAACAGCTCTAAAATGTCACAAGAAATAAGAAATGTAACTTTGAAAATGAGGTGTACTGTGCTAGTTTTAATGTAGAGTGTTTAAATACCAATATGCCATTGAAGGAAATTTAAAATCCCTGCATAGAACTAGTGTACCGTAAAGATAATGATGATATGAGCTTTCTGAAATGTGTTTTCAAGAACTCATGAGTTATGCAACTAAGGGATCTCATTTTCTGTTTTTGAGAGTGAAATTTATGATCATTTGGATGAGGTTGCTATGGGGTCAAGATTAGTGCCATCAATTGCAATTGTGTTTCATGAAACAAATAGTGGCTTGAGGACTCTGGTACAATTCTTGCCAATATATTGTATAAAATATATGGATAATACTTTTACCATCTTTAAAGAAGTTGAGTTTTTTTTATGCTACCTCATCAGCAAACATCCAAACATTAGGTTCACTATTGAATACCAACATAATCACAAACTGCCTTTTTTAGATTTACTACTTCATAACAACAATGATGGAAAATTTTCATGTGAAACTTTCCACAAAAAAAACATTTACAGGATTATATTTAAAATTTGAAAGTTTTGTAACTTTTTTAAAAAAAACCTCTTAGAATACTTGTTCATTGAGCATATGAGTTATCCAGTGAATTTAAATTTTTTCATAAAGAAATAGAAAATATTAAGGAATTCCCAATAAAAAATGCTTTTCCAACAATGATTACAAATCAAGTTATTTGTGATTATTTAAATAAAAGGGTCCTTCTTGCATCTTTCGTAGGAAGTAATAAAACAAAACATTTCTTTTGTTTTCCCATATACTGGAAAGCAGGTGCTGGGGATTGGAAATCAGTTAAGAAAAAAAATCTAATAGAATTAACTGCAAGTAGAATGTAGGTGTCCTAAATGTAATTTAAGTTATAAGTTTTCTACTAGAGCCTTAAAAACACATGTAACTTGGAGATCTACTTCACATTCAAATCTTAAGAGGCATGCACCATACAGTTGTAATGAACCTATAAACAGAAAATTTCAAATTCTTGACCAGAGCTAATAATGAACAGAAATGAAGAATAAAGGAAAGTATATTAATTGATAAACCTAGATTAAACAAACAGAATAATACAATCATCTATTTAGAAGGAAGTTTATTTGTATATTATAATGGTTTCTATTATCCAAATCCATCAAAAGTTAAGCTTCAGTTAAGCAGCTGGTGCAGGAATCAAAGCCATTCAGAATTATAAATGAAAAAATAAATATGTGTTAGTATTATAGACATTATAAAGCTTATGAATAAAGTTTATTTGCTTTTTAATATTTAGTTTTTCATGGAAAAGCTTTATTAGTCTTTTAACTATAATTTAAAAATCAGCTTTTTTTTTCTGTTTACATTAAATAATGAATGAAGAAACTACTCGTAGTGTGATTGTGCAGAGTCATGTGTATATGTTTTTTTAGTATTGAAAAATAAAGTGCAAATACTTTTGCTTTGTAATCTTAAATCATTACTACAAAACTAGTTTAACTCATCATAACTTATATTGTTAATTAAGAGAATATTTTATTTGTAATCATAAACTTAATTGTATAATGGCACCAGACGGAGGTAAAATGATAAAATTTTCTGATATTTTCGTAAAGGTTTTGGTTGATGGACTGCAGACAAGTTAGTGAAGTTGGAAAGTATGCAGCTGAGTTGTATAGAGAAGCAATCTATGTTCCCTTCATGGCCAGGTTTGTGGTGTTTGCCAAGCGTTATGAACCAATGGAGGCTGAACTTCGAGTATTTTGCATGACAGATGACAAGAAGAGAAGACACTAGAGAGTCAAGAAAACTTTACTGAAATAGCTAAGAGTCGAGAAGTTGAAGTAAGCATATACATTTGTTTGTCCATACATAGACATGTAAATTTATAATTGTTTAGTCTTACCGTGCCTGAAGATTCTTATTCAGTATGAATTCTTGATCAAGTCTCACATTAGTGAACATGCCTAATATATGTTCTTTCTGAACAGGTTATGGAGGGGAAATCTCAATATCTGGAATTTGCTGGAAACTTTGTGCCAGTTACTAAGGCTGGAGAACAGCTGGCTCTTAACTTCCAGGCCTTCAGAGAAAACAGATTACCATTCATAGTCCATGTTAAAGATCCCCACCAAGATCCTATGGGTAGAATAGCTTTTATGAAAGAGCCTAGAACAGGCCGTGAAGAGCCTTTACAGACCCCCATCTGTAACTTAAATATTTCATTGCCTGACGTTTGTAAGGTAGGGGATCTGCCAATTTTTCGTTATACAAAATCGTAAATTTTTGTTTATAAATTGTACTTGTAATTTAATTGTCTAACATGAAACAAAGGTTTTGTATGTGTTTTACATGGATTAGAAAAGGTTAGACACACTTGTTAATACAAAATTTGGATGGTGTTCAGAGTTTACAGTCAATCCTCAAGAACTGTAAGTAAGCTTGAAAGCCAAGGTTCTAACATTTTTTTTTCCTGTAGCTTTTGATTAATCATATTTTTCCTTTGCACAATCTTGCCTTGTATCTTGTATCTGAATTCATACACTAAATACTAGAACTTCTCCACCTTTTAACCCTATAGCTTTTGGCACCATTTTTAAATTCCTTTCTGCATATAGCACTGCATTACATTCAAAATTTAATTAAACCACTTTACTATAAATATATGAAAATGAAATCAACATTATAATGTATGTTACAATTTGAATTTTTATGTTATCTAAGTTTTAATTACTTTGTTTCAAAGGAAAACTTTAAAAAAATACTTAAACTCCAGTTTTCATGTCATGTGAACCACACACTCAATTTAGCACCATTTCTCTCTTACCACATAAGCTGGAAATCTACCGGAGCTTCTACACACTAAGTATGTATGTTTGACCTAAATAACATATGAGATCTAACATCTGCATGCTGGGTTGTCTGGGAAACAGATATCAATTTTCCATCCCTTAATGATTGCCACCCCCACCTTCTATACTTTGCCTTGAGATCTACAACATACATGTAGTTAGTTAACATAAATGTATATAGTTGGAAGAAAGAGCTAGGCTTACACCATACTCTATCAACAGTTAATTTGAAATTGGTGCACAGTTTTTCTTATGGTGTATATGTAACTACCATTTGTATTGTTGTCTGCTTGATCGCCTATAGCATATACGGTGGTTTCTTACCTAAGTATGCTATAGTTAGAGAGACAGTTAAACTGTATTTACGTCTTACTTTTATATTTTAGTTAATTATGTATTATGTTTGTTTTAAAAATCGTATTTGAACAGTCTTGTTTTGGTAACGTATGTCTGTAAGAATCTGATAATACATGAAGAATTTGAAAGGAAAAAAAAACTAATAATGAAAGATAAAGACTTCAAATTACACATATAAGAAAAATATTAGCTAAAGACGCTATCATTAGTTTTATTTAACAAAGGTCTTTTTCAGATAAGAGATATAGCAAAAAACGTATGTAGAGTTTTTGAAGCTCTTAATTTATCAAGTGGTCACAAGTAAATAGACACCTAATTTTTCGTCATTTATCTGATTTATGCTAATTTGTGTTCACAGAGCACTATATAAATGAAAATGTCTGCACACTAATTATCTTGTGCTACAACATGCCTAGAACTCAAGGTTCTCTCGAATTGTCAGATTTTGTTAGAGGAAGGATAGTTTTGTCAAGCAGATGGTGGAATAAATCAGCAGCAAATTTTGCAGAATTTGGGAATCCCGCTTTCGACAGTCAACACAATCATCGTGCAGTTCAGGAAACAGCAAGGAAACAACTGAGCAGCGTCCAGGTCATCCTGGTCCATCGGAGAGGTCAAAAAGGGCTGTCTAGAGGAGCATTGAAATGGATCCCAGATTAACGACTGCAGAAGTGGCCAAAGTTGGTGGGATGAGTCCAAAATCTGTTCAACGGATTCTCCACAGATTGGGTTATCGTTGCAGAGCAGCTAGATGGAAGCCCTTATTAAGACCTGCCAACATAGTCACACGAAAGAAGTGGGCAAGTGATATGATGACCAAGCCTCTGAACTTTTGGAAGACCGTATTGTTCTCAGACAAATCAAGATTCGCTCAATTTTCGGACAGTGGAAGGAAATGGGTCTGGAGAATGCCTCACCAAGAGTTTTGGCTCAACAGATTGCAGCCAACTGTGAAACATGGTGGTTTCAGCGTGATGGTTTGGGGAGCTGTTTGGGTTGGTGGGAGATCAAGCTTAATGGAGTGCGTTGGCAACATAAATTTTGCGAAATACGTCGAAATATTGGAGGAAGGACTCTTGCCACTTTATTCCTCAGGTTTCGTGGACAAGAACACAACGTTGTTCCAGGAAGATGGAGCACCGTGTCACACTGCTAGAAACACCCAAAAGTGGCAGGAAGAAAATGGTATCCAGAAGTTGCTCGGGCCGAGCCAATCTCCTGACTTGAACCCCATTGTAAATCTATGGGCCATACTCGACCGGCAAGTCAGTAAACAACCAAAAAAAAAACCAACTTCGAAGAGCGATCTACTCCAAGTTTTGAAGCAAGAGT